GGATGACATGAAGTCCTGTTACCAATTAATCAAAACTATGACAAAATTTGAGAAAGAAACTAGGCATTGGTTATACCATTTCATAAACAAACAACATTTACATGTAACTCAGCAAAATGTGTGATAACAGGGTATGTACATGATGTGTACTTTAATATGTGTATACTGTCATATTAGTGCTCAAATTGGGCTGGTGATAACCATTCATGTTGAAGAATTTTGTTTTGGTTTTGATGAACAGGAAAACACAGCATGTCAATTGATATGCTGCATTAAAAAATAAACTGTGGAGTTTTACAATGTTTGCCTTTTTCTGGCATCTCATTCAGTTATTGTATAAAATTTCTTGTTTTTTCTTTGCAATTTACAAAATTATTGTTCACAAATTGAAGTGTTTTTAAGTTTGGTTAGTGATAGATTTGCCTTAGAGATCATTGCAAGGCTGAGACAAACAAGTATTGTTAGGGATTAAGGAAGTTTTAAACTGAAGATTTCAGAATGTGGAATTGTTTACCTTTTTAACAACTGTACCATCCATGGTGTACTAAGGAACAGCCAAGCTGAGCCATTCTTTGTCTCTTAAAGTCCTTTTAAGTTAAGGCAAATTAGCCTTCCTGGCCTTGTTTTTGAGTGAAAATTCTACTACCTTTTAAACACCTGATCAAGGCCAGAAAGGTTAGTTTTTATGGAGATAAGAGAATAAAAATGAAGCTGTCATGTATGAAAGAGGTCTATGTGCAAGTGTTGTTGCTCACAAACCGTACTTATGATCTTCTGTGATCTCTTGATCTTTCCAGAACTTGTTGACTGTGACACTGTTGATCAAGGCTGCAATGGTGGACTACCATCTAATGCTTATAAGCAAATCATGAAACTTGGTATTAATAAGATCATTTGTTACAATGAAATATTTTGGTGAGGTGACTTTTAGAAATACTGGTAGCTGAGTTTTTTTTTTTAGTTCTAAGTTGATCTTGATTCTGGTCCTTTTACTCGTGGATATGCAAAACATAAGGAGAAATGATGTGGAGTGTACATGTAAGCATGGCCACAGGAGTCTGGAGAAAGAATGCATCTTATTAAAGATGGCAGGCTGATAGTTAACGATGGTAGACTTTGTCAAGTCACTTTGATTTAGATTCTCATTACTTGTACTGAACAGTTGTATCTTTGAGATTTTGGCAAACATGTGAAACTTAATTTTGGTAACAGAGATGTTCTGAATGTGTCAGAGATTTATGCTATACTGTATTGTAGTACGTTTGAGTGGTCTAACAACCTTGATTTTTTTCCTATTGAAATTTTGTGTTCAGGTGGACTCGAGACTGAAAAAATGTATCCTTATGAGGGATCTGATGATAAATGCAAGTTTGCAAAGTCAGAAGCTGTTGTTTACATCAATGGGTCTGTTGCGATATCTAAAGACGAAAATGGTAAGTCAGGGTTTCTACAACTGTCTGTTCTTTCTTCATCATTCTGAATGACATTTTCAATCCATCTTTACTGGCTGTGAAATTTCTTTCTGTTTGAAGGGTTAACAGCCCTGTAGTCAGAGCCATAATGCTTTTGGTGAACATTATGGAACAATGGTTTTACTCTCATTTATGATGTAGTTTACAATGAATTTTCAGGTTTAAATGACTTAAAATTAATTTAAGTTGTTGGTGTATTTATGTGGTTTTTTTTTCATTAATCCTTCAATTGAGGATAACTCAAATCAAATTTGGTGTAGGCAATTTTTTTTTTCTTTGAAATTATTATGAACTTCCACACAGGTACCCGGTAATACCTATTTTTTAGTTCAGTAATTGAAGCCATTGATTTGTTTACCAATTCATATATTATTTCATAGTAATCAGTCATTTGATACAATCAACTTACAAGTTTGTGCAGGTTGTTTTACCGCACAGTTGCAGTGTGATTTGTGTATGCAGCAATGAGATAGGTCAACTTGTTGAAGGTTTGTTCATCATGTACTTACCTCACAAATAATGTTATTTTTTCAGAAATGGCTGCCTGGCTGGTGAAGAACGGACCAATATCTATTGGTATTAATGCTAACATGATGCAGGTAAACTGAAGTGCATGCTTCCAACTATTCTCGATGTAAAAGTTTTCCATGTTATGTTCCTCATTCAAGCTTTGAGTTTATGCTTTGCTTGATCAACCAGTGTACAGGTTATCCATGGTCTGAACTAAAAACTACAAACTGTACACCAATTCATCTGATAAGGAAAAACCCAGCATTGGCACCAAAAGCTATTACATGACTTTGTTGAAATCTTCAATGGTGATCACACAAAGAATCGGTCATTAAAAAAATTGTGCCTCAGTGGATAATTTTATATGCAATTTTTGCACAGGTCTGGGTGGAGGGGGGGGGGGGAGTGGGAGCTCAAACAAAACAATGAGAGGGGGATGTTGAAGCTTCAAATCCAGGCATTTGTTACACACCCTTTGTTACACATGTAGGCTTCTAAGTTCACCTAACATCAAAGATCTTGTCACTTCTGGGGATAAAAATGGTAGGGAGGGGTCCCTTAGACTTACTGCCCCCTCCCCCCCTATGTATATGTGGTTCTTCTTTATTAACCCTTAAAGTCCTAGAAGTGATTTACATGTAACTTCTCCCTATAACATCCAGACACTATCCAACAAACAGGTTATGAGATTACTCAAACTTATCAGTTAGAGGTTGTTATCATGATATGACACCAAATTCTTGTAACTAAATTACAAGGAAATGTTTAACAGCTAGATGGGAGAATTAACAATCAGATCTTGGGAGCTTAAGGGTTCAGGTGAAGGCTTCTTTACCATGTTGTTTTTTCATTTGTTAGTTCTACTTAGGGGGAGTTGCTCACCCATGGAAGATTTTCTGTAATCCAGAATCTCTGGATCATGGTGTGCTGATTGTAGGCTATGGCGTCAGTGAGTATTGCTGTTCTTGTTTCCTTGCTTTGAAACATGTGAGATAGCTCTTTAGGGCAAGTTAAAGGCATGAGCTTATGAACCTTTATCCAACCAGCCATGTTCGAGGTAGAGCTAGATTGGACATAAGGGGAATGGGCAGGGACAGATGACATGCTCAGCCCAACCCCTCCCCTCTCCTTTCTTCAGACCATCAGTCACCCCTTTGGTACAATTTTTTTGCTCCCCTGCCTTCTACTGCTGTAAAATTCAAAGCAGCTATGATGTAAAATAGCAGCTATGATTTAACCAAGAAAACACTGAGCACTCACATTTCAAGAGCAATCCTGCTCTTTAGACTATAAGTGAAGTTGTTAGAGGTTTCATTGGTTACCCAAGGATGTGTTAAACATGATGCTGTGGGTGAAATGTATTACACTTGAGGTTTTTCATAAGTGAAATGCTTTTATTTTCACAATTATGGGAATCAGAGCCCAGGCCATTGTATTTCAACCTCTGATGTTCTTCCACTGAGCTACAGAGAATCTTATGGTGAGCTAGGACATTAATAAACGTTCCTTTACGTACGTTGTATTGGAAGCATTTTACACACCGTTGGGGTCAGCAATGTGAAAAGTGTCATGTGTGTAATAGAACCAGATAGTTCAAAATTTACTACCTTTTTCTACTTTATTAACCTAAAAATATGACATCTCTTTTTACAGAGAATAGCTGGTTGTGGGGGGATGAACCATACTGGATCATCAAGAACAGGTATAGAATGATAGACTCCATTAAAATCGGTCCTGTAAAATGTACTTTCATGCGCATTAAAACAATTATAATTTGCTTCTTTTGAAATCTCCAAATTAAATTTTTCTTCTAACTTTTTTTTTTAAATTTTGGCTATGAGAATTTGTTGCATTTTAGTCTATATCCCAAATGTATTTTTTCAATTCTTCTCGTCCCTTCCTATTGTAAGGAAAAAGTTCTTTTTGATCGCTCCTGGAAGCGAAAGGGTTAGAGTTAGTATTCCTAAGGGTTGAAGTGAGATCCAAACAGAATAATCTTTGGTTGTTGGCACTGTTTTATCGGAGCTTATTTTACTGTGTTCTATGAACATTGTATGTGGCTTATTAAAACATTTCTTTTTTCATTCTAGTTGGGGTGAAAGCTGGGGCGAACAGGTAAGTTTAATTTTTTTTTTCCTGACAGGAGGCAAGAGCCAAAGAGAACGACACAGTATTTTTCGTGTCGCTTCTATATCTCGTGACTCTTCACTCGCGTGACACACCACTCGCGTGACTCACCACTCGTGTGACTCACCACTCGCGTTCGCCTCGCTGTTGCTTCGTGCTTGACGCTTAGCCCGGAGGCTAGCGTGTCTCATGTCACAGGGACTGTTGTGGGGAACTTAACTAACTTAAATCTGCCCATGTCTTTTGCCACAGGGATACTACTTGATATATCGTGGAGACGGCAGCTGTGGTTTGAACACCATGTGTACCTCGGCCGTCGTTGACTGAGCAATTCTCAGGTCAGGTGATATGCTTGTAAATGAAATATTTTAAACATTCATTGAACATAATGTAGAAATGACGAATTTTTGTAAATATTAAGCATTTGTTTTCATTATCTCTTTTATTGTAGGTTTTGAATCAAGTCATTTAGTGCACTATACCTCTGATACCTGATTTAAATTAAAGCATGTAGAATCAATTTTTTACATTTTTCGTAGCCATGGGCTTTTATTAGTAAAATGTTTTTTTTTCTTTAGTTTTTAATTCGTTTTATTGCCTCCCACACAGTTTTCACTTGTATAGTACTTGACTTACTTTTTATCGGAGAAATCAAAACAAAACCTCGCAAAAAGATGTGGAAAGAAACATTTTGAAGTTTGTTGGATTTGGAATGTTAAAAGATGGAGTTATTGGTCAGCTTAAAATACTGGCAGTGGCTATGTAAGCTTGGTATGGAGGATCAAATTTTTAATTGTTTTTTTTTGTAAGAAATGTTTTGTTAACGGTTTAATTGACATCGAAACTTAGTAATAAGATTTTTATTGTTCTATTTTCCAACCTTTTTATGCATGTTTTAGCTGAGCTATATGACTGGCTTTGTAGAGAGGGATATAGAATTTGTAGCCTTTGTTATGATATTAAACAGTGAGTTTTGCCAATTAAAACAATGGTGTGTTTGTTTGACTTGAAATAACCTCTTTTTGAAATTGTGAGTACAGTTTAACTTTATTGGATAAAAGAGAGATGAAAATTAACATCAGTATGCATATTATCCATACTATTTTCCATATATGAGGATAATTTGTTTTAATAATCAAGAGCCTCTTAAGTTGGTGATCATTTCCTTTTTTGTCACTCCGAGGGTTTAAAGGGTTACCTTAGTGTATGGCTTGCTGTTGATAGTTTTCTTTTTTTTGCGAGGATGAGTCGTCTGATGACTTAGTCATGCCGTCATCCAATCGGCTGTTGATTGGTCATGACTTCCTCTACGAAAGTAACAACCAACCAATCAGGAATACTTTGGATTGCGTTTGCTGTGACGTCATGAGTGACGTCTTAGAATTGTCGGGCCTAGTCCTTCCACGAAGAAGGAAAGTATTTTAAGATCTGTCTTTGAAGCAATTTTTTTTTATTTGGGAAATGCATTGATATCTAAAGTACGGTCGTTTGAGGTTCATCTTCGTCAAGAGGTATGTCTTCGAGTTTTACTTCTGTTTCATCCGCTTCGGGCTCAGTTAAGGTTTCTGTCATCTTTCTAAACGACATCGGATTCTTTAAAAACCTGTTCCATGAAGAACAAACCCAGACAATTAAATACAACTGGAAAATATATCCCAAGGACTTGGAAATCGTTCGGGTTTGACTATCTGACTGGTATGCCAAAAATATATTTAGACCTCAACTGTTAGGTTGGAGAGATTTTAGGGCAGTTGGAAAGTTTAAAAATCTTAGAAGACTTAAAAGCTGGATTGGAAATTTTTGATACGGGATGTATTTTTTTCATTAAGTCTTATCAAATGGTAGAGTGCTATTTATGTTAGTGACGTCGAAATTAGACAGCGATCGTGTAATTTTCATAACATATATCATATTTACAAGATCATATTACACAGAAATTAAATAACCAAGTATTACTGTAGAGAATTAAATGATTTGATTCATTATATTCTTATTCCGGCGCGATTGGTCGAGAAAATCAAAACAGGGGTTTATATAGAATACTTGAGGTTTGAGAGAAATCCTGGATTCTATGAGGTTCACTTCACTGCGCTCGGTGATAGGTGAAAAAAAAATTCACACCATTTTGTTAACCAATCAGATACATAACCAAAACCAGTTGTGTTTTGGCCACGTGCGTTTTCCCGCGCGTCACTGTTTTTTTAAATTTTCTTTTACTCTCATTGGTTTATGATATTTTCCTTTGCTCTCATCGGCTGATGTGATAAAATTAGTTTTTGTTTTACAACTTATCTCAAAGCCGGCGTATCCAATTATCTGTTATCTATTATCTGAAAGAGGAGGACGAAGCAAAAAGGAACCGAACACAGAAAAGCGGACACTACATTTTAAATGTTTAAACTTACTTGGTCAAGATCATCGGAATGATTATCAGTACAGCAGCCACAAGAAATGGCAACCCTCGAAAACCAAACTTAGAGGATTGGATGTACATCGGATTAAAGATAAACGCGCCCAAGAAGTTACAGAATGTATCCACTGTGGCCACCGAGGAAAACATGGCACCTAAAGAATTTAAAAGTGATTGATAAATGATTGATACCACAGTCAAAGAAAAATGAGATACATAGAGACACATAAAGGCGCGCTTCTGGGTGGGGTGGAAGAGGATTTTAAGAGGAGGTGTTCAGGGGCAATTGAGGGGATCAGTAATTGAAAACAGAGAATAAAGGGGATGCTACAGAAAATTGACTGCCAATGAGGGGGGGGGAGGGGGGTATCATAAGAATATTACTGAGCCTTATGGGAGGATCAGGTAAGTTTAACTAAAATCCTCTGATTCCCCCCCCCCCCCCCCCTCAAGCCGATAAAAAAAAATGACCAATTCCTTAGAAATAGCATTTCCCTCGATGTGTTCTAAACCATAAGACGTAAAACATCTTTTCACTTCTCTGCCTCCCGGCCCTTTCAGACCAGCCCTGTTCTAAATGAGATATCATGATCCAACTGATAGATTTCTACAGAATTTAGGGGAAGTGGGAGAGACAGACAAGCTAACCCAACGTCTCCAAAACAAATGAAGGTAACATAGCCAACATAATCAACTTAAATTGAGGTCACAAACAATATCTTCATAATGAGCAACATCCTTTTTAACTGATATGGATAAAATGGCTACATGTGGCAGGGGCGTAATCACAAGATTTCTTTGAGGGATTCTACTCTGGCGTGTTATTAGCATTTGGGAGGAACACAGGTTGTTGTATAAAATATGTATATTATATAAATTTTTTTTTCTAAACAAGGGAGAATTCATTGGTACTCCTGAATTTCTCTCAGCCAAACCCTTGTTATTAGACAAGGAAGGGGTCATCTGCAACCCTACAACCCACTCAGCCACACCCTTGTTGCTAGAAAAGAGGTCATATGCACCCCTGGACCTCAGCCAGCCACGCCTTTGTTGATAGACAAGCAGGGGGTTATATGCGCCCCTGGATCTCACCCAGCCACACCCTCCGTGTGAGACACAAATAGCTCAGTCAAGGCTTACCTCGTTCATCAGGTTCAACCATCTGTGACATCATCCCTTTGTACAACGGAACAACAGCACCGCCAAAAATACCAATAAGGGGAACTGTAAAAAGAGTCAGATTTTCAAACAAAGAAAGTGTGATCGTAGTTATTCTACATAAATGGTTGTAACGGGTAACTCGTCTTGAGGAAGGTGGTTTAACTTAACTCCTTCATGACGAAAAGGAGGGTCGAATGCATCTCATGCTCTGAACCTTTCCACCCCCCCACCCTCTTCCCCTTTGACTACACTCCTGAATTCATGATGCGAAATAAACTTCCTTGTAAATTTAATTTTGGGTTCAGTTCTCACCTAAAAAAACCATCCATGTGCGATTACTAAAGGCAAAGAAAACCAGCGAAAGGCATTGGGACACCATGCCAACTCTCATGACATTCACCTCGCTCATGAACCTTTTCAGAATTCCGATTCCCACGATTCCACCAAAACCCTGCATGAAGAATCGGAAAGCCATAAAAACCCCAAGCGTAGCTGGTCCCCAGCAGAGTGGGGTGCGCAGGACAAATAGCGACACTACTCCACTGATACCCAAAACCCCTAGAGTGATTATCCCATCCGAGATGAGAAGCATAAGGAGATTTTTTCTTCCGCCGTTTCTTGGTTTCTTGTACACACTCCATACTGCTTTAAAGCTGTCTAAGCTGAAGAAGCGGATCTTGTTTTTCTGGCTTTCGCGTTTTGATTCCGGTACCATGAACGCCGCCCATAGCAACCCGGCCACGTGACAGGCGAAAATGAACCAATAAGGAGGGATGAAACCGAGTCTATTCAACCATGCACCGCTGGTCAACTGGCTCACGACTCCGCCAATGAATACCACGAGCTGGACAACGGCTAAAATAGAAAACGTCGAGAATCAGTAGAACAAATCTCTCCAAAACACAAAACAAAAAAAACAAAACAAAACAAAAAAAAGACGTCACATGGCTATGGGGGATAGGACTGCTAACCCTAGCTGGTAATTTTACTACAACGCAGAATACTGTTCACCAATTCAAACGAGGCGAAGGAACTTAATTTGATTGCTATTCCAGTTAATGTAACGAACAATTGCAACGCACTCAATCTTGTTGATTGACTTTTAAAAAATGTGATCTAGCTACCCTTAACTAACCAGACGAAAATCGTATACAATACTTTACTGAGAGCTTCACGTCTCGCGAGGAAACTCTATTTGCTGGTCCTAAATGCATAAATACGAGCCCGCTGATATACAAGAAAGAGCAGCGGTACTTGCCTGCACACGCAAAGCATACATTTGTAATTGTGATCCCACCCTGCCCTTCGCCCTCCTTAAGAAAAATCCACGTTACGCCGCTAGCCAGTCGTGGATTTAGCTTTTTCAAGTTTTTGAGTGGTAACACAAAAGGGAACTAATCCAGGTTTCGTTTGCCATTTTAAAAATAGACAGAAAGAATTAACTAACCAATGTGGATAGCGAGTCCTTCTTCGGTTGTGATGTCAGAAACATAAGCGAAAGCAGCCATATTCATGATTGTAAAGAATCCCGAGAAGCCATTTATGGCCGAGCCGACAAACAACACAAACACTGGCCAATCAAAATACATTATAAGCAGAACAGTAATGGCCTCTAGTGCACTCCCTAGAGGAGGGGCTAACAGAGCGGGACGTCTTCCACCGGTGTCCGTCCAAGGACCCAAAAGAAGGACCATAAGAATGGACGGTAGAGACTGGAAGAGGATATTTCCCATGTCAATTCTAGCCGCCAGGGTTTGCACCTAATGATTAAGAAGAAAAGAAAACATGCTCACATTTGGGCTCCTCATCACTGAAATGATCCTTAAAATCTTACGAATGAGGGGAAAACTAACAGGAAAAACTGTATCATCAAAACAGAAATTCAAAATTTTTCAGTATGACCGTAACATTACAAAGAACTTCATCATGATGCTACCAACCTCTTTCTCCAACTCCGCCAAAGACGTACCGTTTCCATTAGAATCTTCGACACATCCCTTTTCAGTAGTTGCCGATATGTTGTACGGAAAGCCCTTAAATTCACTGACTCTGAAGTATATGTACTGTGTCATGACGGGAAGACTCATGAACAAACCAAATGTATAAAAAAGTACGACTGGTTCCACTGTTAGGTAACGTCTCCATCTTGGCAAATTCAGAGTAGGCATTGTGGTTCTTTATTAAACAATAAAAATCAAGGAAGCGTGTTAATAACGGTAGTAATTTTCGTAAACCGCTGCTATCTCGCCACGCACCAAAATAAATACTCTAAGTCATGATTTGCAATCTGCGTCAATCTTCTCCTATGTTGACCATTGTCGTACAATTTAAGTGGATTCTTACCTCTTAAGCACTCACCAACCCAAGCAAACACCTGTTACAAGGTTGTATCAAGGTTTGAAGAGATTCTCCAACATATAACGTATCAAAAATTACTCAGCATTCCGCGAGTAATTTTTTTTCCTTCTTCATATTTAGCCCCTGTAATTACGACGATTTCGTCAGTTTATTTACATATCCGAAAATACAATGCTCAAATCAAACCAATTTTACAAAGTTGTACAATTTCTTCTGTAAAATTTCAATCAGATATTCATATAAATATCACTCAATCAATTAATGAAAAAAACGGCTTTTTGCCCTTTGGTAGCGGATTTTAATTTTTTACTTTTTCGTGACGCTTTTTTACACTATCATTTATTCCAGCTTTTAGCGTCCATCTAAGATATTGCAATTCAGCTCAGCAAATTAAATTTGCATCATGAGGTGTTGTCGATAAAGTTACTTTACTTCAAAAGTGCTTAAAATAGAAACACGTACTCCAGAACGAAGATGGTTTGATGTGAAGTCACGTAAGTGTGACGTTTTAAAGTTCGCAGTCACGCAAAAGCCAATCACATACTCAAAATCCTGAGAACTGTTCACTAAACTGAGATAATGAAAATTTTTATTTGAAAAGATTAATAGACAAAACCGAATCAAGTTTTTCATCTTAACTATACAAATCCAAAAAGACCGGCGCTTTCATCTTCAACCAAGCGTGATCTGCTAAATATTGCGTTACAATTACACAAACAGTAGGAGACATTTTTGCAGCACCGTGCAAGAATATGCAAATGTCGCACTAGAAAGAAAGACAACGAAATTTGTCCAAATGTGTCTATCTTATTTGGACAACGACGACGAATAAAACATCATGACATGTTCAATAACTTCCATATCGATAAAAGTTAGAAACGACGGGATTAGAACGCTGTCTGTCTTCTTCGGCCGTACAATACTGGTCAATCGTTCGCACGAATTGTTTGTACGCGATCGCAAATTGTAAACTCAGGCAGTCTGTCAATACCATCTTTTTGATAGAAAAATAAATAAAAACTGAGTCAAAAACGGGTAAAAATTTACGAAGTTTTACAAGCCTCATCAACTTCGCGCTGTTCGGCGTGGTTCGCCGCCCTGTCGAGTGTATGTCCCATCCAAAATCGGACCGGAGTTCCGAATTGAAATTTCTTATGTTTCTCGCGAAAGCGACTCCAAAATGTCCTCAAGTACCCTCCCTTAACCTGGTAATGAACTAAAAGCTTCATAAGAAGGTCCTTGTCTTACAAGCAGAGCTTTTTAAATAGGTGCACACTTGCAACGAACGAATAAAGGCCAGGTGAAGAGAGAAACTGTATAACTGTAATTATTGTAATTACAACCAACACGATATTCCACCTGAAATTTAAAATGTATCTCACCTCTTTCCTTGATATTTCTGTCTGAGTTATGTTACTTGATAATTAATATCCTATTGGAAGTGACGAATGTTTCGTAAATGTTTGTATTGACTCCAAAAGATCACAGAATCTTCTTACAAGATTGCTATCTCAGCGGGTCTTTGTAACACATCTAAAGTTCACGTAATCACTCCTCATTCTAGTAGGGTGGGGTGGGGGGCTTTCGTGCCGTTGCGCGTACTGTCAGCAACAAGTACTTATACCAGCATCATCGATTTTTTCTGCTTTTTTCGTGATTTCGTCAATTATATTCCTATACAATTATTTGAACATCGCCCGGGAAGTACTTATTAAGTGATATGGTAACAAGTACTTTAACCCACGCTGGTGATATGACTGCTGAATGACGTAAAGGTAATGTAATGAAGTAAGATGATTGTTGTGGGTCGATGGAGGGCTGAACGTTGATAAAAACAGAATTTAGAAAGGGGTGGAATAGCAAGTGCCTCCTAACTGACTGAGCCATTAGATGAAAACACAACACTGAAGAACAAAAACGAGTACATCTGTTCCGTGAAAAGCGATAAATTTGGGCAGAGCATCAAAGTTAATCCAAGACAAAACTGAAAACTGTCCCAATGATAAGTTTCAATTTTTTTTTTATTTTTCATATCTTTACAATTTCAAAAATGGATTGGGTCTCCCATCATCTCCCATGATAATTGTTATAAAATATTTATCAATTTATTCCAAATGACTTCTCCATATATTCTCCCAATTCTGGCTCTTTTGTAATCAAATTAGGTTTTTCTGTAATTGACTGATTGTCGTGAGCTTTATATTTTGCCTTCATTTTGACTGTAATAATTGCCTTGTTTTAAAAATAAAATATCCTTTTCAGTATATAAATTCTTATTAATCTCATGAAATTAAACACGATTTCCCCTATCGGCTTTCATTAAATCTGCGCAATAAACTCTTTCGCCTTGTTCGAATATACAGAAGCTGCGCGATTAATCGTCGAGCGGGGAAGTGGAAATTTTCTTCACGCCTTCCCATAGTAGCTTTTATCCAAATGTCACGCAACATAATATGTATTCCTACAGAAGACAGGTCACGGCGGTTATGATGAAAGGTTACTTACTCATTGACATGACCGCCCCAAGAAAACTTTGCCAATCATTTACAATTGTAACAAGAGCCTGCGAGCGCGCTCTTGTTAGAGCTGCGAAACGACGACGACGCCTGCGAGAAGTCTGCAAGGGTCTGGTGCAAAAATTGCCAGAACGCTAGGCGACCTCTCGCACGCTCTTTTCGCTCACCGGTTCGAAACTCGCGAGCTTCTCTGCTCGTGTCGTAACCTTAACAAAAGCCTGCTCGCAATAGTCTCAGTTCCACGCCTCGCTTCTGCCCCCTGCCCATAGCCTCAGTTTTATGCACATAATCTTTTTCAAAATTTTCATGATTCATTTGAAGGGTAAAAATAACCTTTTATGATTCAGTATCAAAGGAGCATCGCACTCCCTTAAGGAACTGGTTGGATGATGGGGGAATTATCGGGCACATAAATATCAGGAGAGTCGGGCTCATAAGGTTCATCTTCTTTCTCATCTTCGCTATCTTTGGTATTTTCATTGACGATTTTCCTTCTCCGTGAGAACATCTCTTGATCCCTCAAACAACTGAAAGGTAAAAGCACTAAATCATTAACTAGTAATAAACAGTGTTAGCGACGGATATGAAGCATAGCCAGTAGCTTCTGTTCACGAGGATAATCATAAAAATTACAATTTCCTCGATTGCGATTGGTTTAAAAAACTTCTATTTACCACTAATTAACTTGCCAAGATGTTTTCGGACAGTTTGTCATTGCACAATTTAATAAGCCAATCACATCTTATGTTGTAGTTTAAATCAACTGATCACAATCAAAGTTGTAGTTTAAGCGACTTACAGAACGATTTGGACTCCACTCAGTTCTATTACCATTACTTACCAACAAGTTTCCTCCGCAGCTTTATGGCCTTTTCGAGACGTTTAGTTGGTAAAACGGAGCAAAATAGTAGTAATAATACGGCGCGATGGTAGGAGGAGTGAAAAATATTTACTACGTGTTTCGTTTATTAGCTGGACGCCAATAACAGGCTAAACAGGATCTCAATGAATACTCTCTCTTTTTGGAAATAATGGCACAGCACACCTCTGAAAAGTCTTACATACCTAGTTGCATAAAAATTTTTAGAGTCTCAATTTTCACGAACTTTATGGATCTTCAGCAGTCCACAAACATCTTTTTTTCCACAGAAAAAGAAAAACAGCAAATATTCATCTTTTAGAAGAGGGAAATAACAGGAGAGTGCATTAAGCATAATTCTATGTGATCAATTTTCTGCACAAGTCAAAATTACTCTGAAGTTTCACAAAGGCACGTACTGCGGGCTTCACACCGGAATAATGCAATGCATTTAAAGATTACTGGAAAATTCATTGTTCTGAACAATCCAAGTAGTCAAGGATTGTATTGGCCTTTCTATTGGTAATCTTTTTCAAAAATCTATGATACTCTTACCACCGTCTCAGCCACTCAGATGCAAAACTAAAACTGATCGAGTCACTCTAGTTTTCCCGCGCTCGAGTTCTTTTTTGCTCCTTGCTTTGTTCTGATTGGGCATCGTGATTGCCGCGGCCTTCGTTTCACGACGCTAAATCTAAAGCGCTTTACATCCCACTTTCGTATACAATGATGTATTGAGCCACGCCGACAACTGAGATGTAAATATCTGCTCCCGAATGCCCTAGAAAATGTGAATTCCCGTCGAAATTATCCGATAACAGCTAAAAAATAATACTGAATGAACTCACAAGGTACAGAGCAGTGGTAGCAGCATCAAAGTGCCTCCCAGGACAAACACAAATCCCGGCATGTTGAATTTCAGAGATTTGGGGTACAAAGAACTGAACAACGCAGTACCCCCGAAAGTGCAGAGCATCTCTATGGAGGAAACCGTGGAGAAAAGTGACCCTAAAAAAAAAGAAAACAGCAAATTAATCCATACATCACAGCAATGAGAGATCTGAGTTAAGGAAAAAAAGATGAGCGCGCTAAATCTCGGATCGTTCCCTAGCCACAGCTACTAAAGAAGAAAGAGCGTTTGCATTCAAGGGTAAGAAAGATGTCAAGAAAACGGGAGAAAAGGTTTAATTAGGAAAATGAAAGGTTGCGCGTTAGAGAACTTGGTAAATCATCGCGGAAAAAAAAAACGTTCATCTAAAGTTTCGTTTAAGAATCAAGTCCAAATTATAGCAGTACTAGTACAGCATATCTTTACCTTGATCGTCTGTGCTCACAATTTTTGACATCATAGCTCTGAAGACAGGCTGTCCCGCACCACCAAAGATACCAACTAAGGGAGCTGAAAAAATAAAATGAAAGAGATAAAAATATGAAACAAGAAGAACGAAAATTGAACCTTGGAATGCAAGTAAGTATCACTATCTTCAGAGTCCTCAGACTTATCTAAAGCTCGAAAGATCTGAAGATTGCTTGCGTACTTATCGAGAACATTCTGATTTCTTCGCGCGTGATCTTCCTAGTACATTGGGATGTTGAATAATTCATAATAATCTATATTTAAATAATTTTTGAAACACACGAAGGATCTCTTTTTTTTCGTTTTAATAATAATTGAAAACTTTCGACTCTATACTCACCCATGAAAACCATGAACTCGTTTGCGGAGAATCCTAGAAAAATCAAAAACCCTGTGTACGACAAGATGGCGATACGACTGACAACGGCATCTGGGAGACACATCCCGAGCACTTTTATAGCTGTCACTCCACCGACTCCATGCATAAATTGACGAAACGCCAAGAAATATCCCACTAACGTCGGCGAAAAACACAAGGGCGAGTGAAGAGTGTAAAGATTCACTACGCCATTGATTCCCATCACTGCTATCGCCAGAACACCGTTACAAAACGTCAAAACCACTAAGTTTCTTTTCTTGCTGCCTGTAGCTTTGCCGTAAACCTTCCAGCTGGATTTCAAGTTCTGAAGGCTGAATAACCTGCCTGGGTTTTCGCTGGATTTTGCGCGCGATTCTGGTACAAAGAAAATGGCGTAGAGCACGGCGGCCATATGGCATCCAAATATGATCCAGTAAGGAGTGATGAATCCGAGTTTCTCTATCCACAGTCCGCTGGTCAGCTGAGCCACCATGCCGCCAAGAAATACAATTAGTTCGATAATACCTGTAATTTTGTGAATAAAGGAAAAAGGAGTGATATGCGGCATTAAAATATATGGGGATATTTTCCATTCTGATTGGCTGACAAGATAATAAGTTCTTTTATTCAGCCGTCTTCCCATGCAGGAAGGCAAAAAGTATTGGATCAATGTCAGTATCTGAGAAACTGTACACCTACCCCTCCCCTAACCTTGCAATAGTCAACTGATGACAAGTTAAGGTTAATGTTGTGGTTGTTGAGGGAGGGGTATGTGCGTAGTTGCTCAGATACTGTCATTGATCCAAGGTATTTAAGAGGATCAAAAACTTTAACTAAGACTTTATGCTGATTACCAGGGGATATGGGTTGTATTATTCACCAGAGGCCTGGGGGAAAAGAAAGATGAGTTTAAAGACATTCCTAATTTGCAATTAGCCTTTCATCATTGTCTACCATTGAAAAAGTAGCCTGGTGCAAGTATGACAAGTGGTGGAAGGAGTTTGTATTCCATGACACTTGTTTATCAAAGTGTTATGTGAAATCTGTCCCTCCTTCCACTCCCTACTTTGGCTCTAATTGTGACAAAATGGAAGACCTACATATTGCTTATCTGAACCCCTCAATTCTACCAATTACCAAGGAAGGGGAATGTTATTTTCAAAAAATAATATCAACAGCTGTTAGGCACAAGACTCACCCAATCGTAGGGCAATTCTGGACTCCTCTGTTGTATCTGCCACATAGGACATGCAAGCTAAGATGATAGTTGTGTAATATCCACAAATACCATGCAGAAATCCACCAATGAACAGGCAGTAAATAGGCCATTTCAGGTACATGACTAAGAGAACTACAACAGCTTCTAATGCACTGCCAAGAGTAGGTAAGATCAGGGCAGGGCGTCGACCAACTTTGTCTGTCCATCCACCCATGAATAAAGTAATGATGATTGATGGGAGGGCAGAAAACATAACAATACCCAGCTGAACATATGAAGCATCCGTTTGCACCTGTGGTAGATGAAACATCATCACATAGGTAATTTCATTAAACAGCAAGCAGGTCCATAAACAGCAAACAGGTTGTCAATTTATCAGTGCTACAGAATGAGCATTTCTTGGCCCCCTTTGTGCCCATTTACATGAGCCAGCAAGGGATCTGCAAGGGATCTGGAACCCTTGTCATCAAGCCTCCAAAGCTGATTACACATGCTGAAATGCAAAACCTTCTTTTATTGCACATATATTAATGTCACAGCATGAAATAATGTTTGCATGGTTTCCAACAATTAAACCAGTTTTCATGCAAAATAACAATGTAAACCAATTACACCTGGTATCAAATTACCACACAGCAGTTATGGCTAAATTGAAAATCTGTTATTTCCACTCAGCCATGTATCTTGGAGAACTGTGGAGTGGATGCATTTGAATATGGTTTAAAACTAAAAATAATACAATCACTGCACTTCCAGTCTGAAGGCTCAATGCATTACATTGATTCCATACCTCTTTCTCAAGCTTTTTCATGGAAGCATTCAGGTTCTTTCCTTCACATCCTGTTTCTTGCTGAAAGTGATAAGGGAATCCCTTTGCATCACTCAGCCTGTGGTAAATAAACTGCTGCGACACTGGAACATTCATGAACAACCCAAATGCATACAGGAAGAGAACAGGTTCCACTGTCAGCAGCTGTCGCCATGAGAAACCACTTCCCTCTGGCATTGTGATAACTTCTGTGATTACGACGAAGAAAGCATAGATAAAAGTGATAGTAAATAGTAACTAGATACGATGAAATTAATACTTCAGAGCCCTATTCGAGTCACATGCATTGTCACTGATTGTGGTGTTTTGAACTTAAAGAGGAAAGGCCAGTATATTCAGAAGGAATATCCAAAATTTGATTCTAAAAAAATTGTTTAAAACGGATAAATAACCGCTAGCGTTTCCACTGAATACTCATCTTCCACTAAATTGTCTTCCACTTGGTCACGCAACCTCGCTACGTGACGAACTGTAATCGAAGTAAAAATACAAACATGCAGCTCAAAGGCTGCGAGCATTGTATCATAGCTCACTTAATGTTAAAATTAATATTATAAATGAGACACCTAGGTAATTCTCTGCCAAAGATTTTGTGAAAGTGCTTATTCTGACATCGAACGCTACATTTTACTCTGAAACTTTCGATCCACGGGTAGTGCTCAGATGTCGAGCGATTGGCACAATTTCACAACAATTAAGTGATCTTTAAAATTCTGCAAGAAAAGACGAGTTTGTTAACTAAAATATTTCTATGGGTAAGCTAAGCTCATAAAGTTAAACCGTTAAAAGCGACAAATTAAATTTGCAAACTTAACCAGCGATCACTGAGTAGTGCATCAGCTGAATTCATTGTTTGTCTGATCTTCCTCGATTGAGTCAAATATTAGTGCAACATGACAAGGCATTAAAAGATATAAATTATTTACCTCGTGTACTAACCTCTAGGGGTTATACACTGCTGGAAAGGTATCTAAGACAGCGCACAAGAGCTCACAATCACCTGTTCGAGACTTCCCTGACGCGCCTGGACGGACAATGTCGAAGTCCTCTGCGGTTGTGTAATCAGTAATGCCGCTGAATTCCCGAGGATAGGGAAGTAGAGGATGAGGGGATATATTAAGTTGGCGGGGACGGCAGAGCGGAAGGGGGGGGGGTGCAAATTCATGTCTTGTTCTTTAAATCGTTTGCTTTCAACGGTTCTCGAATAATCCTGCCAAAGGCAAATTTGTAAACACAGAATACGAGAATAGTTATTCATTTATCTAACTTTGGGAACCAGTGAAAACACTGCAAATTCAGATGAATCACTAGGGCTCTCTGGAGACTGATTGTTCATGCATGGTAAACTGTAACCTTTTCCAATGGCGTGATGAGAGAATCAACTTGAGAACTTTCAAGTGAACAATTGGAGGCAAAACTTTATCTTTAATGAAAGCAGTTGAACGGAATATTTAACACTGTATGTACAGTGGATGGACTCTGTTAGTGACTAAGATTCTAAATAATAACAATAATTCTTGTTCATTTTCCTACATCAATAAGCTTTTACTGATAAGTTTCTTTTATTTCCTTATGGAATTGTTCATGTCCCACTTTGCATTTTTTAAACATTCCTTAAGTATCACTGACTAAATATATAGTATGCTTGCCTGAGGTACGTTCTTTCTACACAACTGACCTCCTTAAACAGCACTAGTACGGAAAAAAATTGTCTTTGTTCACTGCAGCCAGTAGCTTCATATCAAGGCGTCAAATAGGTTAAAAAACTGAATTAGCTGTTACAAAGCTAGAAGGAGCTTTTTTTTTTCCATCAAGAGACACCATTAAAGTTTAGTATCTAAATGCTTCATTTCAGCAATCCCTGGGCGTTGACCCATGTTCGCTTGGTCATTTATCGAACCTGAAAGTTGAACATAGAAAAGAAGAACTGATAAAAAGATTGCTGAAAGATCTGATATTCGTAATTTCTCCACCGGCACCCAGGCCCAAATTCCACATACATTTGTATAGGGAACACTTGTTAATGGAAATTCTTTACAATTTAGTAATCGGAAAAGAGGAAAGATCACAAGTCTATAAATAATTATAGTATGTGGTAGGTATAAGGTCAGTCATCATTCACCGCTTGGGGGTGGGGTGGGAGGAGAATTTGAAGAGATAACATGGTTTTCAGGGGGTACGGAGGGGGATATCGGTCGTCAACCGCAGAGTATAAAGGGGGCTATAGAAAATTGACTGCCAATTAATTGCCAATGAGGACGGGGGGTGGGAGGGGGGAGTGGTTGGGTCTCCTAGGAATATTACAGAGACCTATGTAGGATCAGGTAAGTTTTATCGTGACACAAACAAAATTCTCCAGCGCCCCAATCCCCCAGACGATAAATAATGACCGGTCCCTATGTAAGTGTAAAAAAAGTCTGGAATAGGGTGGATCCGAATGAGATAAAAAAACGGCAGCCAGAGAGGAGGAGAGAGGGGAAAGAGGGAAAAGGAAAGGAAGAAAAAAGGATAGAGAAAGGATAGACAAAAAAGCGAAAAGAAAAGAGAGAATGATTAGATGGGCACAGCGAAAAATCCCACCCTTAGAAAATTTGTCTAGCACTTCACTGCTAGATATATCAGTCTCGTGAGGACGCGCATTCCCCGAACTAAACGTATATGGCAACAAACGCTTCTGCACGGTACAAGACAGCGTAAAGCAAGAATGAACTAATAAGAACTAATACCTGCAGGTGACAACTGAGTAGTTGTTGATACAATAGATCTGCAAATTTGGGTCAAAATTCCTAATCGTGTCCTTCTAATGAATCTGAGCAAACTCTCTCTCACCTATTGTAACAAATAAAGAAACACTGCAACAAACAAGTATAGAAAATCAGCGATTCTACTTAAAGTTCTGAGTGTGGAGGTTTTACCGCATAAGCCATCAATTCAGAGGGCCACCACAAGGAATACGATATTCTGCATCAAACTTACACCAAAGCTGTACGAGTTAAGTTGGAAAATACCTGGTCATCCAAGAAGCCATGGAAGATACAAAACACCAAACCCTAAAAGAATCAAAGGAAACACGAGTGAGGTAAACTTGATCGATAGCAGTAACTGTAGAGCACATAGAACCGTGAGTACCTGGGTCGAGTTGAGTATGATGAACAAATACGCAAGGACTTCACTCCAGTGGATAAAGAACCCCAGCAGCCACGTGACACCCAACAGGGGCAGTAGAGCTGCGATGCTCCTCAATCCTTTTCTGTAAGATGAAAGGAACCTTTAAGGGATCGATCACTGGGGGGAGAGGGATAGAGGATGTTTTTGGGGGGTATGACATGGTTGTCAGCGGGAACGGAAGGATGCTCAGTTGTCGCCAACAGAGTATAAAGGGGGGGACATTGACTGCCAAACGTTCAAAGAGCCACGGAACCACCACTGAAGTTTATCTCAGTTTCTCTGGCGACAGAACGTAGAAGAGCATAGCTCAATTTCAAATACTTCTAAACAGCATTTCCTATTCTGTGCGCACGTGGGAGAAAACATATTTGCCACTTTCTATTAGCCCTTCGCGAATATCTTAGTGAATAGCATCTAGTTAAAAGAGCTTGTTAATTAAAAAAAATCACACATACAACACAAATCTGACCCTTTTACTAGATCATAAGCAAATATATATATATATATATATATATATATATATATATAAAAGAAAGGAAACAGGTATGAGAAAACAAAAGAAGAAACTTACCTGGTCTTCTCTACATTATCAGTCTGATATTTGTCCGATATCTTGGTGAAGATAACTCTCAGCAGAATTACAAATATCACCAGATTGAACTGGACATGAAAAATTGAAAAATGTTTGACCTTAAAAAACATTCTGATATTCATGTAATGTGTCTGCTTGGTCGTTTGAAGTACAGTAAGTTGGAGCGCTTGATTGAAAGTCACAAGAACAAAACCCAGCCACCTTAGTCGAAACGGCGCAGCAGAACAAAGGAAAGTATCAAAAGAGTTAAACGAGAACTCAAAAGAAACAGACATAGAGGTGTTCATGGTCATTATTTATTCTCAACCTCCTCACACCCCGGCGGTAAGTAATCAATAGTCTAAGAAAAAAGCTGGACTTTTCAAAAAACACATAAACAATTACTTCAAAATTGATTTGGGAAAGAAAGTTGAGCCTACCACGAGAATTGCCAAGATTGGTCCTTTATGCAGCCATTCACCGTCATTAAGCCAGCACCTTGAAAAGATTACAATATTCCAACATGACTAAGTAAGGAAAAAGGAAAGCGGATCAATGCATTTTACTTATTCATTTGGAACTTTCCGCTTTGTTGCAAATGAAAAGGAAAAAAATAGAAAATACGATAATAGAAAAATCGATATAGAAAAGTTTGTGAACCAAACCTTTACGATCCGAAAAAATTAAAGAAACAGACATTCAAAACATTATAAATCAAACACATGGGCCTCTTAAAAGAAAAGGCGTAGCAGTTAAAAGAAAGAGTTAATGGTCCTAATCGTGGAAGTTGGAGAGTTATACCAACCTGTCACGTATAATCTCCGCTGAAAGTTTCAGTGATCCACACATGACGTCCTTGTAGTATGTCTTGCTCATATCATATGTCACAGGTCTGATGGCTGCTATTAGACCCACAATAACAACTGGTAAACCTGTGGTCAAAGGAGGTTGGTATACTGTGAAATCCCAGATCAAAGTACCCCTGGTTATGGGTTAATCTGATTGTA